TCAGTATGAATAGCCTGCGTTTGTGGTCCCCAGTGAGATGAAGTTACCAGAGGATCAGTCACGCCCAGCAATTTGGTGCCTCCAGGCCTAAGTGCTTTTGGAAGTGGTTACTTCATTATGAGCCATTCCAGGGTAAAGGGGGAGGGGGGGAGGTGGAGTGGGGCTTTGGGGAGTCTGTCTGTTCAGTCTTTGCAGATTTTAAGTGGCTTCTGGGCCCAAATCCTGAGATGCAATCCTGGCAGCTGGAGAGGGTGTTTCCAAGGGCCGTTCCTGTCCTAAATCACCTGTAAAAGATGCCCCTCCCTCTGACAAACAGAGAAGTGCCCTTTTCAGTGATGACAGGGAAGAGGAAAGGAATGGATGATATCTTCCTGGTTTTTTGTAGGCAGCTGACAGATTTGGGAGTAATACCATAGGCTCACTCCTGCTGAATGACGCTGTAGGAAGCTTTCTTTCTGCCTAGTGGCCTTTTGTCCCTGTGTATGTGCTCATCCTCTTCCTTTCCCCCTTTTCGTCCCCTCATCTCTCTTTTGGTCTCCCACTCTTTTCTCTCTCTCTCTTACCTTCCCTTTCACCCAATCTTCTTCCTCTTCTTCCCATGTAGAAGATTGGGAAGCAATGGGAGGCCAAAGGGTCTCCTTCCCTAGAAATAGAGAACAGCCTGCCTGGAAGCTGGGTGGGGAATGGCTTTTTTATGGTTTTTTCTAGGCCTTCCTAGGCCTTTCTGCTTAATAATCTTGGTCAGGTAATAAGTACTCAGTGAATTCTTGTGGTATAACAGGATGAATAAATATTTGATTACATCAATAATAATAACAATAATAGCCAGTATGAATGCAATAGAATATTATTTTGCTGCAAGAAATGAGAAAATCGGTGATTTCAGAGAAACCTGGGAAGACTTGCATGAACAGCTACAGATTGAAGTAAGCAAAGCAAGGAGAACATTTGGTACAATAACAATATAAAGACAAACAACTTTAAAAGACTTGAGAACTCTGACCAATGCAATGACCACCAGTAACTTCAGAGGACTGAGAATGAAGCATGAGAGGTGAAGATTTAGGGTACAGAATGAGACATATTTTTTGGACATGGCCAATGTGAGAATTTGTTTTGCCTGACCATGCATATTTGTAACAACAATTTTGTTTTATTTTTTCAAAGGGAAAGGGAGGCGGGAGGAAGAGCAAATCAATTCCTATTCACTGAAAAATATATATAATTTCACTTTTTAAAAGAATGTAAGCTCCTTAAAGGTAGGAATTGGATTTTTGCTTTTCTTTGTATCCTACCGCTCTGTATGGTGCCTGGCACATAGGAAGCATTTAATAAATGCTTGTTGACTTGAAATAAAAATAAACGGAAGGATAGAATCCCACAGGTTGCCCCCTCTGTCTCTCTGAGAGACAAAAAGAGAGAGACAGATAAGGAGAAACTATGAGAAAGAGAACAGAACATATGGAAGCAAGATTTAAAAAGAGAAGACTGTGGAAAGAGCCTGATAGAAAAGGGGCAGAGACAAAGTAAGGAAGAGGCATGGAAAGGAGAAAGAGGTTGATGAAGGCCTCTGGGAGTTTTGGTCTCTCACCTGATTTAACCCAAACTGGAGGGACCTGGAATCTGGAAAAAACTGGCTGGCCCCATTAGCCAGTAATATAAGCCTCTCCTTTTAAAAGATGAGAGGCCAGAGAAAAGGGAGCATGCAGGCCACTGTCTGTGGGGGTTATTTGGGAAGTGAACTGGAGACTCCCTTAGCCCACAGCTTCCCTTGCCTCTCTCTCTGGAGAAGCCCAGGAAAAGCAAATCCTAGTTAAAAGAAGGCCCTGGAAACCTGAAATCCCAAGTAAAATGTATTTTTTCTTCTTAGAATGAACCTGTCTCCTCTCCCAATATTATGTCTGAATAATGATGTATCTGAGTCATTTATTGTGCATTTCCCAAGCACCATCCCCCCTCCTTCCTCGATGTCTATCTTTGTCATAATGTGGCCATCCCTGATCATTCCTGGCCAAGTACCCAAGACTAAATTTGCCTCCTCCAGAACTGATGGTACAGTGCCTGCCACGTAGTAGGCACTTTATAAATGCTTGTTGATTTGTTAGTTGGTATAGTAGAAACAGCATGGGATTAAGAGTCAAAAGATCTAAATCTGAGACCCATTTTATGATAACTCCACTATTCAGAAGCTGTGGGGCTTTGCACAAGCCATTTGACACTTCTAGACTTTTGGTTTCTTTTTCTGATAAATGAAAGCGTTAGACCTAGGTAATACTAAAGATCACTACTATTTCTACTATTTAATGAGTCTAAGCTTCTTGAAGCTCCTCTGCTGACTGATCCAGGGACTCTGAAGAACCCTAGACTTGGACTCAGGAATTTAGCTTGATGATCAAATCAACTTCTGTAGGGCTCAGTCTTCTCCTTCAGAAAACCAAGAATTTCACTAGATTATCACTTTGGGTTTCCTTAAAATTCTGTGCCCTATCTATGTCTTTCATCTTCACCCCTCTGGGTTCTACAACCATGAGTCCCCAGGGGCAAGCAGGGGCAAGTTATAGACTCTACGAATGAGTAAATGAATGAATAAATGAACAGGATGAAGATGTCAGTAGGGAAGACCCAACTGGAGCCAAGCAGTTAGAGGAACCCAGCTGGGCATATTTCAATGAAGGATTGTGGGAAGATAAACTAGGGGGCAACCTTCCTAGACTGGGTCCATTCTCTTGCATCCCCCCAGCTCCATCCTTTAGCACATGTGCTCCTTTGGACTAAAGTAATGCCTCACAAAAACCTTCCTCCAAGCCAACTCCTGACTAAGCTCTTTTCCTTAGGGTAGCCAGTTCCCTTCCCTCCCTCCCATCCCACTCCTGCCCTTCCATTCCCCTGGAGAAGAATCTGACATCCCTCCCTTTCTTGGTCCCTTCCAAACCGTCCCAATTCGGGAGCCTAGAGCTAAGCAAGAAGTTGAAATTAACAAACAAAGGGGGGTGAGGGTGGGAGTGGGGGGAGGGGGCGAGGGGGGGTGGGAAAGAAGCCTTTTTGCGAAACTGCAGAGCATTTCGAAAGAGTTGAGCCCACACCTCCGAGGCTGCCCCTTCTCCCCATCGCCTCTCCCCCTCCCCCTCCGAAAACGGGAAGTTCTGCGAGGAAATTGCTGCTGACCGAGCTGAGCTGCTAGGGCTGGTGGACGGGGGATGACTAAGTTTGGCAGTACTACCTGCCGGCTGTTTTTCCTTTTATGGAGGATTTTTGAGAGCTGGGCTGAGGAGGCTCAGGGCAGAAGCGAAAGGGATCCACCCTGACTTTATATGACAGGAACTGAAGTCCGAGGGTGTCTATTCAAGGACAAGGCAGAAAGAGGGAAGGGGAGGGGAGAGGGCAAGAGGACGGGGAGGAGGGGAAGAGGCGGGAGGAGCCCAGGGGAGTGGTCTCCAGAGGGAGGGGTGGCCGAGTGAATGAATGAACATTTAGAAGGCAATCTCGGTGTGAGAGGGGTGTGTGTGCGCGTGCCAGGGTGCACGCGTGGGGGGCGTGGGTGAACCAGTGAGGAGATAGCTGTGTATCATCCTGTATCACCCAGGGCTGCTGGCCCCGTGGGAGTGGGAACAGCCTGACAAAAGCCGCCTTGGTTTCTGCACCCAGGACCCGGGGCCCCCACATTCCTGAGCCATTTAGAGTTTCCATTTGTGTATCTCTCTGAATGCCACTGCGGATAGGGCTGGTTTCACATGACCTCGATTTGTAATTTTCCCTTTTCCTTTTGAGGAGGTGCCACTGGGGCCAGTGGCCCTGGCCTGCTGCACCACTGTTGGCCGATCATATGTGTGTGCTGGGTCGGGGGAGGCAAGGGACAGCTCCCTTCGCCCATGTCCCAGTTCCAACTGAGAAACTCTTACCTGAGCTCACCCCACCCTCTCATTCTCCTCTCCCTCAGGTGATAGATGTGGGGGAAGGTGGAAAGGAGTTGCATTGGGATAGCAGATATTGTTCCCTCTTAAACTGTCTGTGGTCCACTCCACCTACTCAGTTTTACCACCCACCCCTGCCCCTAGCTACTGGCAGATTAATCTATACCACCGGTTTCTTCAGAGGAGTCAGTCCTTGACCTCTAACTCATTAAGTCAATTCCCCACCTGAAGTCATCATAAGACAGTGACTTGAGAGTGCATCTAAGCCAAATCCTCATGTTACATAAGAGGAAACTGAGGCACCAGAGAAGTCCAGTGACTTTCTCATTAGGAGTCAGATGGTATCAGCTTGGTGACAGCTAGGTAGTACAGTGAATAGGGCATCAGGCTTGGAATCAGGAAGATGTGAGTTCAGATGTGACCTCAGAGACTTACTAGCTGTGTGACCCTAGGCAAGTCACTTACCTCCTGTTTGCCTTTATTCCTCATCTGTAAAATGGGGACACACTGGAGTAGGAAATGGCAAATCTCCAGTGTGTCTGCCAAGAAAAGTCCACAGGGTCACGAAAAGTCAGTCATAACTGAATGACAACAACAACAGCGTCAGAGGCAATATTTGAATCCAGGTCTTCGGAGTCCAAATCCAACACGTTTTCTATTATACCACTAAACTGCTTTCTGAGCCAGAGATCAGTCTGTGTGAACTGCCTGATTCCCTTTGTTTGAACTGTTTTGAAATGGTAGACAGTTGGTACTCTAGATTTTGCGCTGATAATCCATTCCCTGAGTATAATATGGACACAGTCTGACAAACCCTTTCTACAGTGATGATTCTCCCATTCAGAATAGGCAAAGAACCACAGTGGTGTGTGTGTATGTTTTAAGGTCTGCAACCAACAATTCTGTCCATGTTGAGCAAGTCACTTAACTGATCCAGGTCTTAGTTTTTTCATATGAAAAATGAGGGCTAAATAAATCTCCATTTTGTATCTGACTCATTCCCAGGGCTATTATGAAAGTAAATAAAACAATAAATGACAAAGAGCTTCCAGCTGTTGGTAGAAACACCATGATGCTAATCCAGGGCATCATTATCCCTTTTAATAACAAGAAGTCATTTAAACACAAAGCCCTGTGCTCCTGGCCAAGGTCACAGCATGTGTTCATCCACTCTAGGAGATCTGGGCAGTGGCCTGAGCCCTGACCAAAACCACTCTCTGTAGAACTAGGCTTTTCTTACCGGCCTATGTACCTCCCTTTCCATTGCTTTCCATCCACATCATCCCTCTCATTGTCTATAGCTACTGTAGGTAACTCCCACAGGTAACAAAGTGTTTTATGAGAGAGGCATTCAACAAGAAGAGGACAGGTTCCTCTTCAGCTATCCCTAAGAACAAAGGCCTTCCATTGACTTCCTGGAAAAAATTGGGTTTTTGGGGGGTGCCTTTGGTGGACACAATCATATTTCCCAAAATCCTGTTGTTGGCCCAATTCATTTGGGATTTTTATTCTTCTTTCTGGCAGAGAAACAGCTTGCTAATCAGTGACAGAGTTCAGTTAGCTCTCCCCCCTTCTTCTATTACCACCCTTCCTCTCCTCTCCCTCCTCCTATGCCAGCTTTTATCCTGGAGAAAGAACAAAGGGTAAAGGGTAGGCCTGAAGACAGATAAGAATGAACAGGTGAGGGACAGGGTGTTGGTTAAGTGACCTGTGAGGCAGGAAGGGATGGTTAGGCCTCTGCCAAGCTCTATTCTTGACGCACCCAGGGAGGGGACCTCAGGTAGGTCACTCCCAGACACTTAGTTCCTTAGTCTCTGTACAATGGGCACCAGGCTACCTGCCTCATAGACAAAGTGAGAGGATGAATAAGCAGATGTATATGTCATTCGAAGGGCACTGCTTTCTCCATTCATTTGGGGGATGATGCACCTCTCTTTTCTCTGTAGTAGAGAGAGACCATCCATTTGTCCTTTTCACTGTGAGTGAGAACTTCCCTGTTTTTCTCCCTTCTACCCAAGGAGACTTGAAAACTACAAAAGGTGTGTGTGGTGAAGATCAATAGTTTCAAAATTCAGAAAAAATGGTAGAGATAGAGAAAAACGTTTCTCTGCATAAACACACCACTTTCTCCATCTGTCTCTATGGACAGTTGCATACAGGTGTCAGTAAATGTCACCATGCCTGAATGTTGGGATTTGTCTATGCCCATGTCAGCGACTGTGTGACCAAGTATTTACCTATGTTTGCGTTCCTCTGCCAGCCTGAGCCCTGTGTGTATGAGTTTAGGTATGTATTTCTGGGTCTGTGTAACCGAGAGTATCTGCAAGTGAAATGGGGTGGGAGCTGAGAGGAAGAGAAGGAGGAATCAGGATTATTATGGACATTTTGTAGAAGAGATGGAAAGTCCCTGAGAGATAAGATATGAGGGAAAAAAGAGAAAGGAAAGGATCGACAAGGCGGGCATTTTCACTAACAATTGCAGTAATGGGAGAAATAATGAAACTCACAATATGAATAGCTATCCCTCCCAGCCTAAGCTAGAATCTGGTCAGATATGGTGGGCAGTGAGTGTCTGTGTGTGAAAGTGGAGGTCGGATTTCTTTCATTCCCACTTCTCTAAAAGCTCGTGTCCTCCCCTCCCCCTCTTCTCTTTCATTCTCTCTTCTCCCCCATTCCGTTCCTCCCCAGTCCCCTTTCCCCCTTCCTCCTCCCCAGTAGGGCCAGCAAATTGAAACAGCACTGCTCCCATCAGGCTCTGCATTCCTTACATTCTCCTTCCTCTCCCCCTCCCCCTCTCCCCCTCCCACCGGGGCTGGTTCTCTAGAACCTCACCATTTATGGAGAGGAAGTCAGGTCAGATGGGCAGAGGAATCAGAGGCAGGAAGGCAGCCTGGGGTGGGAGGGAGGGCAGGTGTCAGAGGAGAAAAGTCATTGGCTCCTTCAGTCTCTTCCTGGTCCTCCCAATTGGGTTTGGGGAAGGACTGTGGGCACAAAGTCCCCAAGTGGACTGCCCCGCCGACCGAGGCAGGGAGTAGCAATCAGATATCCTGGGCAGGCTCCTCCCCACACTGGCCCCATGTGAAATCTGCTGCCACCCATGTGAAGCTGACTCGGTTCCTGAGAAGGCCAGATAAGAGTTTCAACAACAGCATCACAGGACTCCAATGTGGCCTGTAGGGAACAGGTCCCCACCCCCAGAACTTAAGGACTCCAGAGAGAGGGGCAACAGGTTTCCGGGGAAAGTTACATGGTTTGTTTGTTTTTTAGCATTAATTAAGAGTCTACTACATGCCAGGCACTGTGCTAAGTGATTTTTACAAATATTATCACGTTTGATCTTCACAACAACCTGGGGGGTAGATGCTATCATTATCTCCATTTTACAGCTGAGGAAATTGAGACAGAGGTTACATGACTTGACCAAGGTCACACAGCTGGGAAGTATCTGAGGCCACATTTGAACTCATATCTTCCTGACTCCCGACCCAGTAGAATATCCATTTTTCCACCTACCTGGTTGCACTCAAACAAACAAAAAACGAAAGAAAACAAAACAAAACATTACAACCAGGAATGGCATTTCCTTCTCTTTCCTCTTGAAAATAGCATCTCCCACATCCCCCATCTCCCTCATCCCCTTTCCTAGCATCTCAGCTATTCAGTTTTGAGCTCGTTTCTGCCACTGGATGACCTAAAGTGACTTGTCTCTGGTTTTCAATTTTCCCATCTCTAAAATGAGAAGGTTGAAGACTAGAAGATCTCAAAGGTCCCTTCTACATGTAACACTCTATGATCATAGATTTAGAGATAAGAGGGACCTTAGAGGTCAGGTAGTCCAAATCACTCCTTTTATAGAGCTAGAAACTCAGGCCCAGAGAGACTGAGACTTCACCAAGTTCACACAGGTAGTAAATAGCAGAGTGGTGATTCAAACTCAAGACATCCCATTCCGGATCAAGCATTTTTACCACGCTAAACTCTGGTACATGCATTCTTTCAGTAGCAGATGTTACATGCTCTGGTCACCAAGATGGGCCCTTGGGCCAAAGACAAAACTGTTCTCCAGTACACAGACCCTCCCTTTCAGCGGCCCCACTTACATTCTGAAATACCTGGTGACCTCAAGTTTCCCTCGTTGCCCCAGGGCCTTGCCTGTGTCCCTCCCCAAAGATGTCCCAATCCTTTATCATATTTCTATTAACAATATCTCTTCCTCTGAGGACCTAGGGTTCCCTTGAGGAATGTTCTGTGCTTTTCAAAGGGAAAACCGGTTAATCAGATAAATTAACCCATAGCGATGGGTGTTGATGTATTGATGGGAGAGGATTAGCTCTTCCCTACCTTAACACATGTGCATTTCAACAGGGACCTCATCAGACAATGTTTTCTCTCAAAGGAGTGACTACAATGGCGGGGATTTCAGATACTTGGGTGCCTGTTGAGGGAAGGGCTGTTCTGGTGCCAAGTAACTTGTGGTGTCACTGACTTAATAGTGATGTTTATAGGGTGCTTTACAAAGGGCTTTCTTCACAACAACCTCAGGAGGTAGGCAGGGTAGGTATTCAGCTCCAACAAGCATCTAAGAAGTTCTTCCTGGGTGCAGGGCACTATCCTAGACACAGGAAACACAAGTTCTCCCATTCTCACAGGGAGGAGAAGACATGCATAAATAAGTATGACACCAAATGGCAGCCCATAAATGCACAGGGAGGCCATATCCAAGGTGTGAGTGGGAAAACTGCTCTACTGCTATGGGGAGCAGGAAGGTATAATGACCTGCTGTGCCCAGGAGGACTGGGTTACCCCATTCTCCTCCATTACAAACGCTACATGGAAGAGATCATATTTGATCTGGACATTTAAGGAGTCAGGAAGGCCTGAGTTTACTAGCTGTGTGACCCTGAGCAAATCACTTAACCTCTGCCTCAATTTTCTCAATTGTAAAATGGGAATAAAAATAGCACCTTCCTCCCAGGGTTGTTGAGAGGGTCAACTGAGATAACAATTCAAAAGTTTTGCAAAACTTTTTAAAAATTTTAAAAGTTGGGAGCATCTAGGTGGTGCAGTGGATAGTACACTGGCCTTGGAGTCAGGAGGACCTGAGTTCAAGTCCAACCTCAGACACTGGACACTAGCTATGTGACCCTGGGCAAGTCACTTAACCCCAACTGCCTCACTAAAACAAACAAAAAACCCAAAGCATTTAAAAGTCATTAAGTTTTATAAAACTGATTGATATATAAATGCCAGTTCTTACAGGGGAGCTAACATTTTGATAGGTAGGAGTAGGGATAGATACAGGTATGGAGGCTGGATAGAATGTATAAAGGACAGCAGGGAGTCCAGGTCTGTGCATAAGCAGGAGAATGTTTTGAAGAAATGGGTTGGGTCTCAGCCCTGGAGAAGTCAACAAGCATTTATTAAGCACCTACTGTGTGTCAGGAACTGTGCTAAGCACTGGGGATATAATGTAAGGCAAGAAAAAACCAGTCCTTGCTCTCAAGGAAGACACTGTTTAATGGGAGAGGCAATATGCAAACAACTGGGTACAAACAAAATACATGTAGGATACTTTAGGAAAGGCATAAGCATTAAGAGAAGAAGCAATGAATCTCCCTGCTTTCGCTGGGGAGCTGAGCGACTGCTCATGGGTCCATATGTTGCCAGACACAGTTTCGAAGTCAGGTGGTTTTGATGAGTTGCTTTTCTTGGTTACAAAGGGGTTAACTCACTGCAAGGGGTTGGACAGGTCAATGGTTCTCTTATTGACTAGAATCCCTTCAATGGTTCTCTCATTGTCTGTATCAGGAAATGACATAACTATGATGTAAAAATAAAAGACATCAATAAGACATTATTTCACAACATAAACTAATGGACGGGAATGGGGAGAGGGTGGAGGCAACAAGACCTATTATTGCCACAATCTAAGTAGAAATAAGTGACAATAGGAGTAGAAATAAATGACAATTACAGAGGCCCAGTAGGACCTTACAAAGACTGCATGAGATTTAAAGGAAGAGGAAAAGTAAAAGTAAACCAAAGGCTTCCAACAGGGTGAGACGCCTGAAAGAATTAGGGAAGACAGGATAGAAGGTGAATGTGAGGGAAGGATAAAAAGGTTGAATTTAGGAACATGCTGAGTGTATAAGGAGCCGGGAGAAGCTTTTTTTTTTTTTTTGGCAATTAGGGTTAAGTGACTTGCCCAGGGTCACACAGCTAGTAAGTGTCAAATGTTTGGTCTGAGGCTGGATTTGAACTCAGGTCCTCCTGACATCAGGGCCAGTGCTCTATCTGCTGCATCACCTAACTACCCCTGGGGCAAGCATTTATTAACCATCTACTATGTACCAAGCACTATGCTAAGCGCTTTATAAATGTCTCATTTGCTTCTCATAGCCACATTGGCAGGTAGGTGTTATTATTATCCTTATTTTACAGTTGAGGAACCTGAGGCAGACGGAGATGGATTGATTTGCCCAGGGTCACACAACTAGGAAGTGTCTTGAGGCTGGATCTGAACTCAGATCTTCCTGATTGCAGGTCCAGTGTCTACACACCTAGTTGCCTCTAGTTGGTGAGACTTTCAGATGGAAGTTCTGTAGGCATAGGTCTGAAAGTCTGGCAGAATGAACAGAGATGAAGAAATTGATTTTGGAGTTATCACTACAGAGTGATAGCTGAAGCCACAAGCTTAACAAGAGAGACAGAGAGAGGGCAGCTAGGTGGTGCAGTGGATAGAGCACTGGCCTTGAAGTCAGGAGGACCTGAGTTCAAATCTGGCCTCAGACCAAACACTTGACACTTACTAGCTGTGTGACCCTGGGGAAGTCACTTAACCCCAATTGCCTAAAGAGAGAGAGAGAGAGAGAGAGAGAGAGAGAGAGAGAGAGAGAGAGAGAGAGAAGAAATCGAAGGAGGTAATCTCAGGGAACAATCATATCAAGGAGTTCAGCTAAGTACAAAGATTATTATCAATATGTTTGGTTGAGGAGATCCAGATTGGGAGGTAAGGTGACATGGTCACATAGATGGTACATGTGAAATCTGGGGCTTCCACCAAGTTCTTCGGACTTCAAGTCCACACAGGGCTTTCCACTCTCCGCTAGAGCTATCTTTTCTGGTGATGTCATAGGATTGACTGCTTTAGAAATCAGAGGAGAATCCAGACTATTTTCATTGAGTTAAGGCTTGACTGGTCTCAAGGCCTCTTTTCACCCCAAATTTCAAAGAACAGAACCCCACTATCTTGTCATCTTTGAACTACACAGCCTTCAGAGCTAGTA